TGAGCTCATTTCTAGATCAATGAGCCGCCTGTGAGACAGTGCAACCAGTCAAACCGACTAAAGAAACAAAGAGCCGCTGAGCTACCTGGGAAGGACACCCACCAACCTGTTCAGATGCCTGCCGGCTGTGCAATGTGTGAGTGTTGCAGCTTGGATGGAAAGGAATCCTGGCAGTCAGGAGCCAGGGAATGCCACAAAGTCACTATAAGCATAGCAATTTACAGCCCTGCTCCAGGGAACGATTTCGCCTCTGTGTTGGTTATTTGGGAGCAGGTAGTCAGGAAGGAATACTCCGCTTACAAAGAAAGAAAGAAAAACAGTTCAAGTTGAACTTATTACAGGAATATAAGCTTTCTTTAATTGTAAAAGTCAGGCAGTGGTGGTACATGTCTTCAGTCCCAGCACTGAGGAGGCAAAGGCAGGTGGATCTCTGTAAATTTAAGACCAACCTGGTCTACAGAGTTAGTTCCAGGACAGTCCAGCTACCTAGTGAGACCCTGTCTCAAAAAACAAAAACAAACAAGCAAACAAACAAATAACTACAATCTCACCCAAGTCTAGATGCTGGTATCTGGGTTACTTACAGAAGCATGAGTAACTTTATTTATTTATTTATTTATTTTTTGAGACAAGGCCTCACTATGGAGCTCTGGCTGTTCTGGAATTCACTATATAGGCTAGGCTAGCTTCCAGCTCACAGAGAACCATATGCCTCTGCCTCCCGAAAGCTGGGATTAAAGTCCTGTCCCACTACACTTGGCAAGTATGAACATTTTTTTATATTTATTTATTTATTTATTATGCATACAATATTCTGTCTGCGTGTATGCCTGCAGAGCAGACCTCATTACAGATGGTTGTGAGCCACCATGTGGTTGCTGGGAATTGAACTCAGGACCTTTAGAAGAGCAGGCAATGCTCTTAACCGCTGAGCTATCTCTCCAGCCCAAGTATGAACAATTTGAAGCACCAGGAAAGTCCACTCCATGACAGGTGTCAACTAGCAAAGGCAACATCCCTGAGATTCACAACTCCCTGAATAGGCAACATGCAAAACAGTCTCTTCCCTGCCAGTAACTATGTATATGGCATTAGGTGACCTCGGGAAGTGACCTGGTGAGTCTTACACCTTTTGGAACTTCTTCAGTCTTATACACACTAAGACTTTTAAGAGCAGCTCTCCTCTCTACACGAAATAATGTTTCAGTTAGAAGAAAACAGATAAATACTTCTTTCTTTGTATAGTCTCATTCTGTGGCCCCAAATGGACAATAACTTGTGGCTCCTGTTTCATCTCCAATCCCAACATCACAGGCATGGACTACTGTTGTAGAATATCATTTTAAGATGTGTTACATTTGTTTACACTGTGGGACATTTGTTTAAAGATGCAAAGATTACCAGGTGGTATTGGCACATGCCTTTAATCCCAACACTCAGGAGGCAGAGGCAGGTGAATCTCTTTGAATTTGAGGACAGCCCAGTCTACAGAGCTAGTTCTAGGACAGCTGAGGCTACACAGAGAAACCCTTTCTCAAAAACCAAAATAAATACATAAATAAAAAATAAAGATGCAAAGACAGGCTGCATTCTTTTATGTTACATTTATTTAACTCTGTGAAGCTGCCTATCTAAAACACTTGATTTGTCCAGGAAAGAGTTGAACAGACAATCAGCAGGAGAAAGGATAGGTGGAGCTGGCAGGTAGAGAGAATAAATAGAAGAAGAAATCTGGGAGGAGAGATCGAGGATCTAGAAAAGGAGAAGAGGAGGACACCAGGGGCCAGCCACCCAGCCACCCAGTCAGCCAGGGAAGAGGGAAAGTAAGATGTGCAGAAGGAAGAAAAGGAAAAGCCCAGAGGCAAAAGGTAGATGGAACAATTTAAGTTAAGAAGAGGTGGCTAGAAAGAAGTCAAGTTCAATCCCCACCACACACACACCGGGTTTCTCTGTAGCTTTGGTGCCTGTCCTGGAACTAGCTCTTGTAGATCAGGCTGGCCTTGAACTCACAGTGATCCGCCTGCCTCTGCCTCCCGAGTGCTGGGATTAAAGGTGCGCACCACCACCACCCGGCTGTAATACCCAGTAATACCACTTTTGGATATATATCCAAAGGATGCTTAATTGTGCCACAAGGACATGTGCTCAATTATGTTCATAACAGCATTGTTTGTCATAACAGAATCTGGAAACAACCTAAATGCCCCTCGACCGAAGAATGGATAAGGAAAATATGGTACATTTACACAATGGAGTACTACACAGCAGAAAAAATAATGACATCTTGAATTTTGCAGGCAAGTGGATGGAGCTAGAAAACATCATTTTGAGTGAGGTAAACCAGACCCAGAAAGATAATTTTCACATGTACTCATCATAAGTGATTTTTAAACATAAAGCAAAGAAAACCAGCCCACAAATCACAATCCCAGAGAACCTAGACAATGAGGACCCTAAGAGAGACATGCATGGATCTAATCTACATGGGAAGTAGAAAAAGACAAGATGTCCTGAGTAAATTGAGAGCATGGGGACCTTGGGAGAGGGTTGAAGTGGAGGAAGAGGCAGGGACGGGAGCAGAGAAAAATGTAGAGCTCAATAAAAATCTATTTAAAAATGAACAATTAAAACTAAACAAATCCAGGAAAGAAAAGAAAAGCAAGCAAGCAAGCAAGCAAGCAAGAAAGAAAGAAAGAAAGAAGCCAAGTTAAGGCCGGGCATTTATAAGAGGGTGTTTGTGTGTGATTATTTGGGAGTGTTGGGCCTGGGGTTATGCAATGATGGAGACAGATCATCAAAGTCTATAAAATCAGAAGCAAACTTAATTCTAGAAAAAAAAAACACCATGGAGGACAAAAAGTTTATCAGCTAGCTGAGACCACAGCCAGAGTTCAGGCTTCTAAAACTGTAGCAATGGGACACTGACCTCTTTTTTTATAGTAATAAGTAAACATTAAACATGGACAAAGGAATTTTTACAATTTCAAGATAAAACTTCCAGACATTTGCATTTTAAGATTTACAGTTTTCGATAATAAGGTTTCAGCTAAGATGATGTCTGCAGAGGCCTGCAGACCTCCTTCCCAGCTGATAGTGTCTGTAATGAACTTTACAACTTTCCTGGCACAACCGGTTCTCCATAGCAGGGACGGACACGAAACAATGTAAAGCCAAAAGTCACAGAGGAACAACTTGTTAAAAGTTAACCTCAGTCCAGGCAGTTGTCGGTTGTAAGAGGCAAGGGGTTATCCCCTGGCTATTGACAGAGGTAAACTGTAAGGCAAAAAGCCATTGTTAAAAGTTAATCCCTTGCTACTGACAGTGCTGATGACTCTCAGCTCCCATTTCTTTTAGGCTTACAAATTTATAGTTTTTAATTCTATTCCTGGACCCTTTAGGAGCTGGGATGTGGATCCCCCAAAAGAAGCAAAGAGTAAAATAACAGACCACCACCCCCATAATATCTATTTCTTTAAGATTTATTTATTATGTATACATTGTGCTGCCTGCATTTGTCCATGCAGGCCAGAAGAGGGCACCATATCTCATTATGATACACCTCTTATTATGATTATGAGCCACCATGTGGTTGCTGGGAATTGAACTCAGGACCTCTGGAAGAGCAGCCACTGCTCTTAACCACTGAGTCATCTCTCCAGCACCAATACCTAATTTTTTAAGAGATAGGGTTTCACTACTTTGCCCGGGATGGCTTCTATCTCCTGGGCTCAACCTGTTCTTCTCAATCTCATGGGTAGCTGTGAGCAGAGCGACGTGCTATTGCCACTTCCGCTGCACTTCCTTTAAAAAGTAAAGAGAGGAAGTGTGGAAGTGCATGGTGGCGCACACTTTTAATCCCAGCGTTTGGGAAGCAGAGGCATGCGGATCTCTGTGCCAAGAGAGCCAGAGCTATAAACATAGTAAGAACTTGTCTTGAAAAATCACCCCCCGCCCCCCCAAAAAAAGCAACAGGCCAGGCTGTGGCACCTGTTGGTAACCTCAGCATCAGGGAGGTGGGGGCTTCCGGGCACATCTACTCCACTCTGGGGTAGAAGCGATGGTCTGTAACTCTCCTGATTAACAACAGGCATCTCGACCTGGGCATCTCTGTCTCATACACAGAACGGTCTTGTACTCGGACCCACCTTCCTGGTACCAACCTGTCTGAGGGTTTCTATTGTTGTAATGAAATATCATGACAAAAAACAAGTTGGGGAGGGAAGAGATTATTTGCTGTTTATTATTGAAGGGAGTCAGGATAGGAACTCAAACAGGGCAGGATCCTGGAGGCAGGAGCTGATGTTAAGGCTATGGCAGGGTGCTGCTTACTGGCTTGCTCCCCGTGGCTTTCTCAACCAGCTTTCCTATAGAACCCAGGGATTGCCCCACCCACAATGGGCTGGGTCCTCCCCCATTGATCATTAATTGAGAAAATGCCTTACAAAGTTGAATCGCAAGGAGACATTTCCTCAACGGAGGCTCCTTCTTCTGTTAAGTCTAGTTTATGTCAAGTGGACACACAACACCAGCAGTCCCCAACCTCTTGTCAACTTGACACACAAACACGTTACTCTTAAGCCACAGTCCTTCCTTTCTCATTCATCCCCAAGACCTACTTTTATGTAAAAATATAAATAACTTTAAAGGTCCCATCGCAGCACTGCCTGCAGGATGGGCAAGGGGAAGAGGCTGCGAAGCGAGGCTGTGAGAATCGAGGCCAAAAGCCTCTGTAGACCTGCGCCCACTGAGCACCGGACGCGAAACAGAGCGATAACCCTCGTCTACGGAGCACCTCGACCACGCACGGATGCGACCGACTACGTCATTGCCCAGCTCCCGCCTGGGCGCCTCCATGATGCGGTACGGAAAACCACAGGCCTCCTCCCCCGCGCCTTATCGTTCACCCTCTCGCGCCTCCGCTAGAAGCCTCGGGAGGGTGCGGCCGTCCGCCACTGCGCTTGTCCGGCGCTCCAGGCCCCGCCCCGCTCCCACGGGCGCCGCCATGTTGGGGGTCCTCGCTGGGGACACGTAGGCGTCTGCGTAAGATGCCGGCTCGCGCGCGTCGCTGCCGCCAAGATGGCGTCCATGCGGGAGAGCGACACGGGCCTGTGGCTGCACAACAAGCTGGGCGCCACGGACGAGCTGTGGGCGCCTCCCAGCATCGCGTCCCTGCTCACCGCCGCGGTCATCGATAACATCCGCCTCTGCTTCCACCGCCTCTCCTCGGCTGTGAAACTCAAGCTGCTCCTCGGGACGCTGCATCTTCCGCGCCGCACGGTGGACGAGGTGAGGGCGCGGGCCGGAGCGCAGCTCTCGCTTCCAGCCGGCACCGGCGCCGTGCCTTTCCTTGTTCCCCGCTGGCCGCGCGCATCTCCGGGTGGGCGCCGCCGGGCCTCCCCACCCGGCCTGACGCCGTAGTGCCTTCCACTGCTGGACGCTGTCTGCGGGCCGGGTTCGTGGGCCCAAGGCCCGAACCGCCCTCAGCGAGGCTGGCCCGGAGCGGAGCACTGGACGCCGCAGTTCCGAAGCTACCCCTTGGTTTGGGGCTCTTAGTGTAACTTTTCAGGGGACTGCTGACCTTAATTTTGTTGCTTTTGTCTCACGGGGTGTCAGTCTGCTTAGCTTCCTCTATTTTGTCGTCTCTTTCAGTGCATTCTTACTCCACGTTGCAACTCTGTGCAAAATATACGATGCCTTGCAACATGTACACAAACGATATGTGTCCAGGGTCTCTCACTGTGTAGCCCAGGGTGGCCTCGTACTTGGTATCCTCCTGCATCCACTGTCTAGAGGGCTGGGATTGCAGAGCTGGGCCACTACATCGAAGCACCCTAGTTTTTTTGTTTTTTGTTTTTTTTTTAGCATTTCTGGTTACTGTTATATCATTAAGGTTGGTTTTGGTCTTTGTTGCGCCATAAAAAAAACAAAGCTACATGTTTTTTTTCAGTTTATCAAATACTAATCGCTAAACGACCCACTCGTTATCTCCTCCATACAAGAGAACAAGGGTGGTTTCTCTATAGCCCGTCCATGTTTCCCTCTCTCTTCCCCACGAGAGCAAACATCTGTCTGTCTGTCCATCATCTATGCAGGGTTGTCGATTGTGTGTACATTCCTAGCACGAATATTTACTTTTGCCTCATTTGAACTTAGTATGGCAACATACTTGTTGCCATGTTACATACAAATTTTCGGTGTGGTGTGGGTGTGTCTTCTGTCGGGAAACACCTGAACAGATTCCTCCAAGTTGCTGCAGTTTGATTTTCGTGCATCATGGTCTTCCGTTCTCCGAGCACACTGCACATGGATTAGGTTGTGTCTAGTGTTTTCATTCGTGTTTTTGTTTCATGTTAACTTGTCCTGTTGTGATTGGCACCAGCTTTATATGTTCAGGTCTTTGATTCATTTGGACTTGAGTTTTGTGCATGATGACAGATATGGGTCAGTTTTCATTTTTCTACATGTTGATATCCAGTTATGCCAGCACCACTTGTTAAATATGCTTTCTTTTTTCCATTTGATATTTTTTGTTTCTTTATCAAAGATCAGGTGTTTGAAGATGTGTGGATTGGTATCCAGGTCTTCTATTTGGTCCTCCTGTCTGTTCTTATGCCAATACCAGGCTGTTTTCAGTACTGTAGCTCAGTAGTAGAGTTTGAAGTCAGGGATTGTGGTGCCTCCACAAGTTCTTTTATTGTACAGGATTGTTTTGGCTATCCTGGTATTTTGAAGGGTAAGTTGAGTACCCTTCTTTTGAGGTCTGTGAAGACTCTCTATGGTTTTTTAATAATCCTATGTTGACTTCCTGTCAGCTGGTTGCTTGTTCTACCTCTTAACCTGTGGTTGACTTTATTTAATCCTGTTTACAATATTCAAGCAGAAAGCTCTTGAATTAAAGGTGTGTGCTAGGGCTGAGTCACACCACAACTAGAAACAGGTTTTTCCAGTAAATAACGCAAACTCAGGACTCACAGTGTGATCAGATATCCTGCAACACTGACATACAGGGTAAAGCCTCCACCTCACCTTCAGGAGTGGCTTCAGCTTTTCTTAATCCCTAGCACTTGTATCAGTCTGTCTCTTTGTGTTTACATGTTCATTCATATGTGTACATCTGTGAAAATATATGTGCATACATGCATTTGAGACCAGAGTCCAGATTAGGTGTCAGTCTCAGTTGCTCCACAGCATACTCCTGGACTCTTCCAATCTCCACCTATATAGTGCTGGATTATAGCCGGGTACCCACTGAGCAAGGCTCCTGTGTGGGGCTGGTGCAGGAGAATTGTCAATCATGTTTTAAATAAACACTGATTGGCCAGGCAGGAAGTATAGGTGGGTCAACCAGACAGGAAGTAGAGGCAGGGTGATGAGAACAGGAGAATTCTAGGAAGGAGGAAGCCCAGTCCGCCCAGATCACTGAAGAAGCAGAATGTGACCTGCCCTGCTGAAAAAGGTACTGAGCCATGTGGCTAACATAGATAAGACTAATGGGTTAATAGACGTTATAAGAGCTAATACAAAGCCTGAGCTAATGGGCCAATCAGTTTATAACCTAATGTAGACCTCTGTGTGATTTTCTTTGGGATTTGCCGGCTGTGGAAACTGGGCAGGACAGAAACCCCAACTAGCAGGCCCTCATGTTACACTTGGCAAGTACTCTACCAGCTGAGCCAGACTTTCAGCTCACAGGGTAAATAGTCTTAATAGCATAGAACTTTGCTGGGAGGTGGTGGCACAAGTCTTTAATCCCAGCACTTGGAAGGCAGAGGCAGGCAGAGCTCTGAGTTTGAGACCAGCCTGGTCTATAGAACAAGATTCAGGAAAGCCAGGACTACAAAGAGAAACAGTCTTGAAAAACAAACACACACACACTCAATATATATATATATGATATATATATATATGTGTGTATATATATATATCATATATATCACATGTAGGTTTGGGCAGTTATTTAGAACCATCATTAAGTTCTATGATTCACCTGTATTCATATATTTCATATTTTATGTGCTAATGATATATAGAAATACATTAGGTAAGAAGTCTGAATAGCACCTATGCTGAGATTGTCTTTTTTTGTTGATGATGGTTTTGTCTTTTGAGACAGGATCTCTCTAGATAGTCCTGACTGTCCTGGAACTCACTATGTAGACCAGGCCAGCCTGGAACTCGCAGAGATTCACTTGTCTCTGCCTCCTGAGTCCTGGAATTAAAGGCACACACCTGGCTCTGGGTGGAGATCTTATTTAAAGATTGTTCTCTTTGTGTAACTGGGATTTATTGGTTTCTTTTTCTTATCCTACTGTACTCATCTACTGTACTGTTGATCCTCCCCATTGTAGCATCCTGAATTTGCCTGTTCCTCCATAGCAGCTGTTGCTTTGTATATTTTAGGTTCATGTTAATAGATATGTATAACGTGGTAGTTGTTGCCGTTACCTTGTGAGCTGAGGAGCAGGTGGAGATCTGAGTATTTGCCAGTGCTTTTCCTTAGGTCTTTTAAAAATAAGAGTTCATAAAGATTATCTCCCCTTATTTTTAATTTTTATTACATTTCCTTATTATGTTGCACACTTTATATGTGGAGGTCACACACTCCTTGTGGGAGCAGGCTCTTTCCAAAGATTGAACTCTGCTTCTCAGGCTTAGTTGGAAGTGTCTTTACTTACTGCTGTGCTGTCTTGCTGTCTTGCTGACCCTTAGGTCAGAGTCTCACTCACTGTGCAGCCCCTACTGGCCTGGAACTCACAAAGCTCCATCTGTCTCTGCCTCCTGTATGCTGGAATTAAAGAAATGAACCACCATGTCTGGCCTTTGTCACAGTTTTTATCTGACATTAATACTAGCTTAGTTATCTTTTTTCTTGGTGTGAGTGTTGGGGTTTGAATACTTGGCTCCCAGTTAGTAGCACAGTTTTGGGAGGCTTAGGAGGTGTGGCCTTCCTAGAGGAAGCATGCCACTGAGGGTGGGGTGAGCTTTAAGATTTTAAAGACTCTGACCATTTCAAGTTCGTTCTTTGCTTCATCGTTGTGGTTGAGGATGTGAACACTTAGCTCTGTTCCAGCCATATGTTTTTTGCTTGCTGCCACTCCTCCCTGCCATGGTGTACTTTAATACTGGAACCCTAAACCCAAGTAATTCTTTCTTCTGTAAATTACCTTGGTCTTGATGTTCATCACAACAATAGAAAAGTAATTAATATATTGTTGCCTTAGTTTGGTTTCTATCGCTGTGATAAGATACCATAACAAAGGCTGGAGAGTTGGCTCACTGGTAAGGGTGCTGGATGCTCTTCCAGTTGTCCTGAGTTCAATTCCCAGCAACGACATGGTGGTTCACAACCGTCTGTAATGAGATCTGGAGTCTTTTTCTGGCTGCAGGCAGAACACTCTACAATAATAAACGAATGGATGAATGATTCTTTAAAAAGATACTTTAACTAAAAACTACTTAGGGAGTCACTTATTTCAGCATGAGTTTATAAAGTCTGTCATGGAGGGAACTCTTCAGTAACTCTTGAGGGTCTTGTGTTCAGAGCAGATGCAAACACAGGAAAACAAGGTATTTTGCTCAGAGCAGCTGCAAGCATAACAAGTTGTTTACAAGAAATTCAGGGTCCAGGGTTTTCAACCAGTTTCATCAAAGAGAAAGGTGTTTCGGTGAATCAGTGAGGGATGCAGAATTAGTTGGCGTTACTAACACCTTAATGTGTGGCTGGGAAGTAAGGATACCTTGTGTAAGCATGCTGATGATTGCAGAGACAACAGAAACTGACTTGATGGTGCTTTTAAAGTGAATTTAAAGGGCTTGAGGAAATGGGAAGTGCTGCTCCTGGATAGGATGGTACTCTATAGCAGACTTTCTTGGATTGCCAACCAGCTCCCAAATCAGAGACTTCTCATCAGTTATGAATGCTCAGCCTTTCTTATGCTTGTCCCTCTAGCTCTTATAACTTAGCATTTCTCTTCATCTACATTTTGCCTTGGGGCTTTTTACCTTGCTTCTCTTCTCTTCCACTCTCTCTCTTGTCTGTCTATCTGTTCTACTTTTCTTGCTTCCTTCTTGTCTGCGGCTGCCTGGCTAGTTGACTGGCCCATGTCTCTCTCTTTCTCCCTCATTCTCTCCATTCTCTGCAAGCCTAGATTTTTCCTATTTTTCTCTCTGCTTTCCAGCCCTTCTTATCCTTCTCCTGCTTAGCTGTTGGTCATTTAGGTTTTTATTAGACCAATCAGGTGGCTTAGGCAGGCAAGGTGAAAAAAGTGCAACACATCTTTACATAATTAAACAAATACAGCATAAATGAATGTAACACATCTTTTCATTGTTAACAAAGGCAGCATAAACAAGTGTAACACATCTTTTCACACTTAAAATAATATTCCTCAGCATAAACAAATGTAACACATCTTTATATAGTTAAAATAATCCACAACAGCAAGTCACTTACTTCTAAGACTATAGAAATGACAGAAACATCTGGCTGCCTGGACAGCCACTGAGGATTCCTCTGCAGTGTTGGAGAGTCCATTCTCAGTCTATAGGCTTAGAATATCTGGCAGACTTTTCTGTGAAACAAGAAATTTGAAGGACTGACCTACCTTGTCTTGGCAAAGTTTAGCAGTCATTTTCCTGTGTGTCCTACTTGTCCAGTTTTTCAGCAGTTGAGGCAAGGCAGTTTCTTGCCTAGAGGCTAGCTTTGCCACAATGAAAGCAAACTCCATATGGAGGTTCTTTGATGCCCATCATCCTTTTCTGAAGTAAAGTGGTGCTGCCAGAACAGATGTGTCTTGCTGTCATGAAAAGCCTTAGGTTATTAAACGTCTTAGATGCCATATTCCATAAGTCTCTGAAATGTTTGAACATCACCTATCTAAAAATATGTGTTTGACCTTGAAACATGCCTAACATGACTACAAGTTTGATTATTATAGATTGACTAACTGCTAACCTGCATTTTTTAATTATACATCACATTTTTACAGGAGTGGTAGTTTTGTTTACTACCCTAAACAAAAGTAGTAACATGTATACAGTATAACAAAATATTTTAAAATTTGTATTACTATACCAAAATTCATACCAATGTAAAATATTTGAGGTTAATAGTTGTCTTTTTACCCTATATTCCTCTAACCCCCCCCCCTACACAATGACAAACATCTATAACCCACTAAATGACCAAAGATTACCCACCCCACCTCTTGGGAATGTGGATGTTGTGTTCTCTTGATTGCTTCCTGTTGCCCGAGGATGATGACATCTTCAGGGGACCCTGAGGAAATTGAGGTAAAGGTCAACTCCTGGGAAAAGTAGCTGTAATTTTTGTTGTCCAGTCTTAGAACTGTTCAGCATATATGCCACCTGTGATGTACTTTTTCTTTGTTTATTTCTTTATGTCTGTAGCCAAAATTTTCAGGAGGTCTACTCAGACCAAACCTGATCTCTATTAACTTTGAAGGAATGAATCCACAGCCTTTTGTTTCTTATGGAAACAAAAGCATAATGTCTTCCCCAACACAATACATTTTCTGAATTCCATATTAAAGTGAAGGTATCTGTAAAGTATCTTGTAAACATGCTTTTCTGTCCTGCCTGGTCCTGCAGCTACTTTTAAAAGAATCACTCAGAGGTATAATATTAATTACAAGCCTTTTTGCATATTCTCAGACTTACTGCTTACTAACTCTCGCACATTGTTAACCCATTTCTATTCTGTATTTTGTCATGTGGCTTCATCATTACCTGTTCTCTAGTACATCTTGTTGGTCAGGTGGCTTGCTACCATCTGCCCCTGACTCCACTCTTCTTCTCCCAGTATCTCTGCTTGGATTTCCCACCTGGCTCTATCCTGCCTTGCTATAGGCCAAAGGATCTTCTTTGTTAACCAATGATATTCAATGTAGTCACAGCATAGAGAGGGGAATCCCACAGCATTCTAGGCTGGTTTAATTCAGCAGTCCCTTTTACAATTCCATGTCTCAGCATCTGTGGTTCACTCATCAGCATTCAAAAAATTCAAAGTCAGCATCATAGGATCCAGACTCTATTTCCCACCGTTATGTGCCTTTTAGTTACTTTACTCTCTGTTTAAAGACTTTATTATTATTTTAAAGATTTAGCTAGTTATTATGTATACAGTGTCCTGGCTGCATGTCAGAAGAGAGCACCAAATCTCATTACAGATGGTTGTGAGCCACCATATAGGTGTTGGGAATTGAACTCGGGACCTCTAGTAGAGCAGTCAGTGCTCTTAACTTCTGAGCCATTTTGCATACTTTTAAGCACACTAACCTATTTAGAGTTTTTTCTTCCATCTGACCGTGTGAACCAAACCTTAAGCTACTGCTGTGTTGCTCTGGTGACTGCCTTTGCTCCTTTCTCAGGTCCATTACAGCCAACCTTAAGACTACGGCGTCCGTGTCAAACAGGAGTTGTATTCAGCTGCCCCAACTCTGGGGTGTTGGTGCCTGGGACTGTGGCAGGTGATTTTACTTAGCTTGTTGGTTCTGCAGAGCCTCTTAAAGGAACCGTATCCTCTTTTTCCTCTTCTCCTCTCTTCTCCTCTCTTCTCTTCTCTTCTCTTCTCTTCTCTTCTCTTCTCTTCTCTTC